TTTTTTTTAAAGACAGCAGCAATATGCCACATGCCAAACCTCTACGCTCATTTAATTTCTCCATCTCTGTGGCGAAGATGCTTTTTCATAATATTTCCTGCCTCAGGCTCCCGAAAGTCAAATGAGTCTGGTTTTGCACTCAGCCAGAGATAAATGCACTTTCCACAACACTGTTTCAGGTTTTAACCACAACATCAGAGGCACGAATGTCTAATGAATACATGCTACACCTAAGTAATGTGTTTGTGTTTCTAGCACTGGATAAAATCACAGTTTTTCTGCGAGAGAGAGGTGTGAAGTGGTTTTTGGATCGGATCTTATGTAAGCCTTACGCAATGCTGGCCTGACCACAGACAATGTGTTGCATGCATTTTATGGATGTGCTCTAGACCAGTCACTGCTGTAACTGGTGCATGTTTGATTTCCCTCATCTGGCATTCTTGCAATTGAATCAGGAACATTATCTGGTTGAATTTATTCAGGAATTGAGGGGTTGTGGTCACAAACAAAATCAGCTAAGTACTGCCATGTAATTATGGTCAGAAATGATGTGTAATGCATAACTTCCTCTTTCTGCTCATCTGAGAAATATCAAATACAGATCCAGGAGCTATTATTACAGGAGCTCTCATTTCAGAGAGAAAAATATTCATGTAAAGTATAAGTTTTAGCTCTGCAGGGACCCATAAGAAGGAGAGAGACAGAAAATAAGAACACACAGTCATGGAAAGGTTGCAACAGTTTCCCTCAAACCAACAGGTATAAAAGTTTCTACATTATGGGGGATGCTGGATTACTGAAACTCTCCTGAACATTTGGCGCATAAAAGTCAAATGTGAAAAGGAACCTGCATAAAAATATGCTGAATATATGAAATGTGCATGTAAAAATGTACATGTATACATAAAAATGTACATGTAAATACACATTCTGTTCTCCATTTCCGTCACATTTCTACCGCACTCTCTCTCTCTCTCACACACACACACACACACACACACACACACACACACACACACTTTTATAAATCCATATTGTTTTTGAACAAACACACTTACCTCCACTGGCTGTGTACTGCAGGCTGCCTCTCTTCCTGAAAGGGGACGTGGGTTTGCCTGAAGGCAGCTTAGAAGACATTTTGCCTTAATTCACCAGAGACGGACAAAACACTGGTTGATTAAGGCACGGAGGATTCCTTAGCGTGGGAAGAAAGAGGGGGGACACACTCGGTCCAGAGGGGTTTTGACTGCAGTAAGGAGGATGTTCAGATGTGTGTGTGAGTGTGTGTGTGCTCTTCGGATGCTACAGCGGGAGAACTGGCTCCTCCCCACACCTCCCAGTGCCCACTCACACGCTGCCTGCATGCTGTCACTCCGCACAGTTTCCATGGAAACCTCCGAGCCAGGTGGAACGTGACAGTAGAGTACGGCGGGCATCTAAATAATGTTGTGATGATGATGAAGGAATGCTTCTCATGTCACTTTCTCACAGCTCCAGGAGACGAGAGGAAATATGACGAGACAGAAGCTGGCTCAGGGCTCAAAGTTTAGCCTCTGTGATAGGGAACATAACATAACGTAACAGTCAGATTTTTAAAAATGTAATGAATTGCATTTCAATTCATAAAACTTTTGCACAGTACTGTATATACATACATCCATAGTATATAGGCCAATAGTATTTCCATCATCAAAAACAATGGTTTTAGGACAGTTATTTCTATATATATTATATATATATATATATATATGTATGTACAGTATATGTATGTGTGTATATGCTCAAAATTAAAGTTCATTAAACATAAGTTTGTATTTAAATATTTCATTATGTACTGATTATTAATATCATCTAATGTTGCTGAAAACATGCCATATGTTGTGTGTACAATAATGTATTCATGTGAAATTCATATTGAAAAAACGTATTATTACAAATTAGAAACATAATTCTACCTAAATTCAAATTTGCTTCATAATTCTGCATCTTGACAGGTACTGTAATTCAAATTCAGCAAAAGGCATTCTCCATTCTCTTCTGAATGGCGCTGCTCATTTTTACTTGTCTATGAGAATGCCTATAAAATGCTGGTGACAGCTGACCCTCATCAGCAATGTAACCGTGAGGGGTCTTTACATAACAAAATAATCTGTCTGTCTCTGTGCTGGCTGGACATGTCAGCACAGTAAATATGCAGCTCAAATGGCCCCTGGACACATTAGCATTAGCTTACATACAAAGCCAAAAGTGAAAAAATGTATTTAATATTATCCTCCTGCAAAAAAAAAAAAAAAGTGTTTTATATGCCATGAAGTTACAGAGCACAGTGTCTTTGAAGGAAATCAATATATTAAGTCAGTGAATTTTGAAGAGATGATCGTTGAGATTTCCTTCCTCATAAGCCAATGTGTATACCAGGCAGAGTGCATTAAAGCGATGGGTTTATACCTCCCTCTTTTGGAGACTGAGAGTAATGCATTCATGTTTGTTCAATGACACCCTGTATCTATAATGCATCAATGGCACAAGAAACCTACATTGGCAAGAATTAATCCAAAAAGCAATAACAAAATACCAAGATCAATATCAAATCAACATATAAAAAACATTATTTGCACAATAAATCATGCATATTTTTTTTTAGCAAACACTCATCTAATGGGACAGAGCATATTACTGATGTTTACAAGCACTGTGCCATGACCAGTAGTGCCTGATCTCACAAGAGACTGTAGGCATCTACTGTACACGCTACACATTTATATGAGTGCAAGAATGAGTCATTAATGATTCAAACAATCCTTTCACTGGGAAAACCTCTCATGCTGTTTAAATTCTGTGTCAGGCCTGAATGCAGTTCAGGTCTCTGCAGAAGCATGCATTTAGCGATTTCATTTGAAACTGCAGGGTTGAGATGCTCCTGCACTGCTCTCTGCCTCATTTTAATTGAAGTGCATGCATATTAGCATGAAAAATGGTGACAGCCATTAATGCATAATCAGGATTAAAATACCCAGCATGCTGGATTGAGCATTTAATACAACCTTCAGGGAATTAAAGTAAAAAATGTGTGTAAATCAATGAGCTCACTGTAGCTCTATAAATACAGTATCAAGAAAAAGTTACGCATA